TTATTGGGAAATGTGTTCTGCAAAAATTGTTTGGAGCAATTTTCACCCATTTTCCCCGTTCTATGTTTATTGTTCATATTTTTAATATTATTATTTCAGATTATAAAAAAAAACTCAAACAAAAAATATAGTAAAATTGCAACTACTGTAGTGTAGTAGTTTAATAAATATTTATTTATTGTGTAGAAAAAGAAATGAACATTATTGAGATTGACAATAATAACTCGACAAAGACAACCGATGATGTCAATATGGTGAAAACTGGGTCAGTTAAATTCAATTGAGTTCAATATTTGTTATCATTTTCATTTTCTTTTTTTACCTCCCAGCAAGGGAAAAAGATTCCGATCTAAGACATGCACAAGCTGATTATTTGTGTTGACCAACAAAAATAAAATTACATTTGTTGAGCTGAGGAAAATATATTAAACAAGAAGTAAAAGAACACGTTTTTTTAGTTTAGCTAGCGCTCTAGCATTTGTAAACAATAAACAAACTCCACTAATAATAATAACGATCCGTGAAAAGCAGAGTTACAAAATAAAATAATTCGATTGCTCTTGAATGATTCGCTTAGTGAAGTTCTATGGAATCGCAAAAATTATTTAAAAAGAAAAGTAGTGTAGCGAGCAAGGGTTTTTGGGGTTTTTTGTTTAAACATGATAAAGGACAAGTGACACAACCTGCTTGTGCAGTAAGAAGAGTCACAGTGAATGAACTCATGTAAATGGTTGTTATGTAAAAAAATGTAATAATACTAACTAGAACTAGAGAAAATGTTACTTTTTTTAGTTAACAAAGAGAGTCACGCCCCAGTTAGGAGGAGGAGTAAATGATACTAGCAGACTAGTAAATGATGATGACGCACATCCACAATTATAGGATCACGCAACCAAAAAAAAAAAAAAAAAAAACTTGTACATTATTAGAAATGAGTTAATAATGAACAGCTGATTTTATAATCACAAACGTACTGGCAAAGAAACGAGAGCATCATCTAGTCATATTTCTACGCAACAATACTACTACTAGTTTTGAAACAGATAATTGAACATAAAACACACGAATTTGGAGATGCGACTAAAATGGCATGTCAATTCGCATAAAAAAGAAGAAGAGGGCAGAGCAAATTGATTGTGAGTTTAACAACATCACCATGCAACCCTCTTCCTTGCTTTCCCAGGCAAAACAATCAGCATCATTATCATGGTGGTGTGATGGCGTAAAAAAAAAAAAAACTAAGGTTAATCAATCGGAATTAATTGTGCAAATAACAGGGAAAATAAATGTATCAGGTTTTTTAGGGTTCGGTTTCGCAAAAGATGCAACATTTTAAACTAAAACGTGGTGGAAAGGTAGTAGAAGTAAGTAATAATGGAACAAAATCGAGTAGTAAAGGCGGCAACGATGGAGCTGTCTAAAAACTGGTCCATCATGTGATCAGGTGTCTGCAAGCTGAAGACGAAAAAGACATCCCTTTTCTCCATGTGGAGGAATTTACAACGCATGAGGGAGGGGATGAGAATTAGATTGTAAAGAATAAAGATATGCACTTTTCTCGTGACTATCTTTAATAAATTTAGAGTAAAAGACTTGTATTTTTTTTTCACTATCCCCACCATTCTAATCTAGTCTATATGCGAAACAAACAAGCCAAAAAGGTAAAAAAGTTCATCGGCAACAAAGAAAGGCATGCTTCAATGTTTCTAATCAGCTCCAAAAACAAACGATTCGTTTGATGGGGAAAATAATCTAGTTTTTAACAAGCGATACCTATTGAAAAATAAATAAATAAAAACTCGATCACGAGGATAATTCTTCTTAGTTAAGCAAAGAAAATATTAGTGTACCCTTATTCAAACAAAAGTGGTGGGGAGAGAACAAAACTAAAAGTAAAAGAAAACAAAAACAAATTTATATAGTGACATAGAAATTAGCAGAGATAAAAATCGAAAATAAGAAAATTGATTTGATTAGGTATTAATTACCCCAAATAGCGAACTCAGATGTCCCGTCGTATGTAACGGATAGTTACAACCGTGACAATTAGAAAAAAAAATCTCTCATTTAAAATATTGTTGAATGTTCACACACATACACAAGGAAGGCATACACATGAAATAAACTTTGTTAGAGGTTTAAAAATAACGAAAGAATTTTTTTTTTAAATATGACAAAAACTTACGAAAAAGTGTTATACACTGTGTACACGCATCATGATAAAAATATGGGAAAGAATGTTACTGTGTCAATGATCGGCAAAACAGAAATTAGAGTCCTTTTCTTCTGAGGAAACGGAATACAGTGGGGTAGATACTACTACTATAGGGCGACGAGAGGAAAATGAACCCACTTTCCCCACCGTTAGGGATCTTCGAAAACGAGATAATTAATCAGTAGGTGAACCATTGATAACTAACTCTGTTTACTTTGACGAAATCTTTACAAGTGAAGGTCATAATTCGATCTTGTGATAAATTTTGCTCCGTTTGGCAAACACTCAACAAAACGAACATGAAAAAAAGAAGAAGTTAAAACTGAAATGAACACAACTTTTTTCTTTCCTTTTTTTTTTTAACACAAAATAAGGGAAGCTAATGAAAAAATGGTGTGAGGAGAGATCATTACGAAAATATTGTCCCCCCCCTCCAAAACACCTGGTTTGTTGTCTTCTTAGGTACACTTTCAAGTAGAAAATGATTATATAATTTAAAATAAAGTAGTAAAACTGTTGTCATAAGACTAAGAGTAAGACACACATACACAAACACAACCATCTTCCATGTTTACTTTTTTTTAATGATCTTTTAATAATTAAAATTTAATTAATTATACAATACGACTGTGATATTTTTAAAAAGCAATTAAACACTAGGTAGGATCAAGTTTCAAGCTTTGATTTCAGCCAAAGTTTAGTATTATTTCTTGAATCGTAAAAAAAATAACAAACATCGAACATTCAATAAATTATAAAATTTGTATCTTTTGAATAAACTGTAGTAAACACAAGAAAAACTGTCTTTTTTTTTTCTTTTCTTTTTTTTTTCTTTTGGTAAAATACACCAGGTCTTGTTTTTATCGCGGTTTGAATTTAGAAATAGACACCTAACAAAAATGTGTCAGCCTTGCTCACAGCAAACTTGAGAAAATTACGTATATATTTCAGCTTAGGTGGGGTTCTAGAGAGGAAGATAAGAATATATGTAAAAAGGAGTGTTTTTGTTTTAGGAAAGTAAATGGTCTTATATAAAAAGACAACAGGAGATACAGGTGGGAAAAAAAAATTGATTAATTAATAATAATCAATAATTGAACTTCAATTTTATTTACGAATTTACTTAGATTACCTACTTTTGTTTTGTTGACAAACTTTTACGAACTGGTAACAAAATGGAATTCAATTCTTAAAAAAAAAAAAAAATGCAATCATTTTTAAACTTATTTCATAACTCGTAATAAAAGTGTCATTAGAAAAAATGTGTCCCTGGATTCAGATGGCTTAATAAAATAAATAAATAGAAAAAAAAAAGGAGAGAAAAAAGACAAAAAAGAGAGCAGATCCCCCACTTAAAAACCAACGTTGAATAAAACGCCCATTAAATACTAAATAAAAACAAAACAGAATCAAGATTAAAAAGCCTATTACAAATTAAAAAGTTGTTTAATAAATAATTTAAGTGACATCAGAGTTTAAAATAAAAGTACAGCTAAACAACAACAATAAAAGAAAAAAAAATGAAACCAAACTTTAGTTTTTAGAGAGAACTAACAGGTAGGTAAAAAAAATAAAATAAAATAAACGTTCAGGAAGCGAAAACAGGATGGTTGATGTTTATATAAATAAATAAAAAACGTAATAAAAATTATTAAATTATATAAAGCAAAAAGAATAGAGACTGTAAATTTATTTCCAAAAATGTTTCTATTGCAGAGAACTCAAATAATAATAATAATAATAATAAAATGTCAACTAGAGGTGCCAAAATAAGAGAAGCCACAATAGTGGTCCTAAAATGGGGGATCATATTAGAATATAAAAACAATTGTAAATTAACCCCCCCACTTTATGGCCACTTCGTAATCGCAAAGTACACATTACGTGGTGGTTGCAATCGAGCGAATTTGCCAACGGATATTTCACCGTTTCAAAACAATCTACAAACTAAATGGAATAAATGATAAAATCCAACTCTTAATTCATCCTTACCCTTAAGATGGCAATCCGTTTTTCTTATCTAAAACAAAACATGGCATGACAGCAGGGTCCTCTGCGCCTAGTAAGTAGCAGTACTAATTCTTTTCTTACATACTTCAGCGTTGGTCGCTTACACAAGCAACATCAAACGACGCCATCATCGACTAAAATGTTCGGAACACTTCGACAATTTCCGTTCTTCGTTCATTGAATTACCGAACAATATGTAAAATAGTTATTTCGACGGGCTGTATTTTACATTTTTCTAGTAATTAGGATTATCTTTTATGCAAAGATAGAAATTAATCAAATGCAACTGATGGCATGTCAACGCAAAAATATAATCCGTCACATTTTATTTGTGTATGCGATTTCAATTGATAAAAGAAAAGAAAGGAGTGGAAATATTTTGGAGAAATATCGAAAATTCATGGAATTTTTATTTTATCTAAAGACAAAAAACGTATTTTCTCGTTATTTTTTATATTTGTGATTTTTGAGTGCGTTTTGAACTTACTTTTAGTGTGCTCATTTTTTTAATCTTATTTTTTATTTTTATGAGAATAAATAGTTAAGTCGAAGTGGAACGAAATGTTTGCAGATACATTCCGGTTGTTATATAATTCCTTGGTTTTTCCTTTTAATTTTTCCTCCCTTGGAGACGTAAATATTATTGATGTTCGGTATTCAATCACTTCGGCTTCAATTTTCCCCATTCCAATTTAATTTACTTTCTCCTCTAACACATGCCTTTTTACATCGTAAACAAGGATACGTTGTTTCTTCAACGTTACTGACACAGAAAATGCAAGCGTTCGATTATTTTCTCGTGTTAGATTTTGAAGCTACATGTGATAATGCGAAAACAATTGTACCACAGGTAAATGATTATTATTATTTTTTTTTAAGGCTGGTTTACATTATTAAACTGGAAAAATAATTATTGGGAATTATTGCTCCAATGATGTTGAAAACGGCGAAAGCTTAATTTAAAATCTAAAATTTGTTTAAAAAAATAAAACGGTTCCCCCTCCGTTCATTTCCTTGTTAAAATGAAAAAAAAAAAAAAAAAAAAAAAAAACGAAACAAAACAAAAGTTGAAAGAAAACTAATAGCAAGTAAATCAATTTAAAAATATAGTAAGTAAAACCACCGAAATGGAAACGGTCAACCCCCATTGGAAATAGAGCACCCACTAACTAGAGAGAAATATACACACATGTCAGTGTGGACACAGGGATCAACGCTGCATGGTGGTTGTCAGTTTCACGCTTCAATGTGATCTTCAGACCAAATGCCTCTCCTTTTTAGCGGTGTTCAGTTAATTCTTATAGCCACATTTTATCTAACCACAAACACACACTATCTCTGATATTGAGCACTCTTCTTTTTAGCAAAGTTTAACAAAAACTTAAATTAAAAGGCGGCTAATTTACTAATCAGTTTTTAGAGATGCCATTGTGTGCTGGAAAGTTGTTTTTTTTTTCTTAAGATCACTGCAATTATTCTAACTTCGCGATATATAAGTTTTTTTGTGCAACAAAGCGAATTACCAAATCAATCCCCATTTTTTTTTTTTTTTTTTTTTTTTTTGCACGCTTGTGCGTTACATCAATGAAGCGGTAAGAATTGTACTTAAAACAATCTAACTTTTCTTTTTACGTAAAAAAAGTTTATGTTCCGCTTGTATTGTACAAAAAAGAAAAGTTTGCCAATGCTGGAACGGTTTGCTGATATTAATTTGCAATTTTAAAAAGAACTTTACAAACTTTTTTATGCCAGTTTTGTCACGAACCTAATTTCATTAAAAAAAAATCCTTGGAACACATTGATGATTGATGTCTTTTTTATTTTCATTCATTATCATTATTTGTTCTAACTGCATTTTCAATGTGTTCTTTTCTTGTGCAAATACGCCAACAGGTGTAGCCCAGTTTAGCATTTCAAACGATTTTTACACACAGAAATACTGATTTATCTCTCTTACATCGTGTGTAAAGATTTTGAACTAGACTCACATTCTGAGTCCACCTTTTGATCTTGAGAAGTCTTGTATTCAAATATAACAAAAAAATATCGTCCGAATTTTCTGTAAGTAAAAACTGAAATTTAATTCAACATTTACGACTTGAAGTTGGCACGTTCCAATTGATAAAGTAAAGTTAGTTGCATCAGATTTCAATTTTGTTTTCAAAACTCTGACCATGCCTCGTTCAAGATATCCAATAAATTTTGTCGTTTCCTGAAATAAGAGACAAAAACAAATGAACTTTCGTCGAACTAAATTATTTTTCCTTTATTCAGTATTTCTGAATGTAAGTAGGTTGGAGCATTTTTCTTTTTTTAGATTTTAAATTTATATTTCTTTAAATTCTGTGACAAACGTTGAATTAAACTTCTTTTTTTACTGATGGAAAAATCTTTTAAAAATAACGCTCCATATCCACAGGAGAGCTCAGAACAGGAGTCAGTTAAAAGAATTATGTACTAAACATTATGTAATTATATATAAAGAAAAGAAAGATTGTTGCAGAGGTGTAGGTTATTAGGAAAAATAAAATATATATCAGAAGGTATTATTTGTGTTGGCTGCATGAAGATAAACTTCTCCACAAACATTTAACTTTGGGTATGGCACAAGGACATTAATGACAAAATGAAACAAACATTCCTTTTTAGAAAAACAAGGATAAAGCATTTATAACAAATATGTACAACATGAGTATAAGAATGTTCTTTAGGACAGCTAGTTTGTTCAATGTTCCTGTCGGTAAAAGGATTTTCAAAGAATTAATCAGTTCATATTAAGAAATATTTGACACAGTAAATTTCTGTTATAGTTTGATATTGGAGATTAAGATTGTCTCCCTTTACCTGCTCCAAATTGAATATATATTTTTTGTTAATGAAACAGATAAAAAGATGGAAATTTAAATATTACATGAATAAAGTTGATTCAACAAATGAGTAAAGTCTTTGAAGAAAGTAAGTTGTGTTCCTGGAAAGTTTGTTGTAATCGAAATTGGTAAATGAAATGTTGGTTGATATCAAAAGTTGAATTTTGTGTTTAAAAGATAAACTTTTAAGCTTATAACTTTTGAATAAATTGTGCATTAAATATTAAAAATCTTTTGGCTGTAAGATAGTTACTTGAAGTAAGTTTGTGTTAGGTTATGTTCAAAGTTGCTTTTTGAATAAAAAGTTTGTTTGGCAAACTGTTCTTTGAGTAGAATTCTTGTTGTCTCAATAAAAATTGTAGATGTTAAAATTGAAGTGTAGTTGATGAGTGAGTGAATTTGAATTTTGGGATTATGTTAAGAAATCTAACTTAGAAACTTCAAAGATTTGAATGGTGTGAATTTGGCAAATTGTTTGATGCCACAAAGCTCACTGTTAGAAGTTGATAAGTTTCTGTTGCGTGTAGTTGAAGGAGTAAATGAGAAGAGATGTGCAATGTTCGTATGTGTGTGTGTGTGTGCATGTGTCATAGCATCTTCATAGCATTTTCCCCTAAAGGGACAAAATGCAATTTCTTCACAGCTACATTTTGTATGCAAGAGAAGGCTAAAGTGGAAGAGTTGTTGCTAAGTATTTATTATGTTGCATGTCACATGATAGGCTCAAAACACATAGACAGATTTTGAGCAGTAAATTAATTTTAACCTGACATAGACAAAAGCATGATATTGGAATTAATTGACCAATCAGGAGTCAGATAAATATCAAGGCTCTGTGATCCACTTTGGTGTTTAGCTTGTACAAAAATCGACATTGAAAGAAAGTGGTAGCAGAATGCTAAAAGATCATTTCAAACATTGAACTATCTCTGTGTAGTGATGTGGGCTTAAAATGAACAGTTGATTGACTCATGCCAAGAAGATTAATGACAAGAAAACACACGAGTAATTTTATCTTGAAAAGATAAAGAATTTATTCATGAATTTACATGCTTGAGGTAATGTCAATAGCTTCTCTCAGGAAAATAAATTAGAATTCTTATAGTCTATAGTTTCAATGTATTGTCACGGAGAGGAAATGTTCATATAACAGATTAAATGATCTGACACAAAATGATATTTAAAAATGTTTAAGAAAAAGGTAAAAGAGTTTGTTGCTCACTGAAGGTATATATATATATATATATATATATATATATATATATATATATATATATATATATATATATATATATATATGGTTTGTATATTCAGAAATAGATGAAAGGAGATAGTTTCAAATACTTAACTTTCTTGGATTGTTAAGAAAAAAATTCTTTGAAGAGCTGCATGCCGAATGCTGATTAGAGGCCAATAATATAATTGGTGAGTAATTGTAATTTTACATCGGTGAGAACTTCAATGATGGTTGCAAGTAACAGAAACAAAACTTTTCACATAACTTCAGACACTCTTCCCTGATTAATTTCTCTTATTTTATATCAAAAGGAATTTTGTGTTGGCTCACAAATTTATTTACTTCTTGGCTGACTGGCTAATTTTTGTGAAGGCAAGGTTTTCATTGATCAAAAGAAAATTTCACATAGGCTCACAAATTCCTTTCCTTCTTCCTCAGTCCTCTGAATTTGAAGCGAGTGGCTCATGGGAGTTATTATTTTGCACTCACTACAAAACTTTAAAAAGTAGTTAGTTGAGAAAAAGTGTTACTAACAGAGCCATAAGGACACTTAAAAATTTCACCATTTGAGTATTGTCATTAGGTTTAAGGATCTAAATTTACACTGCTAGATTGTCCAAAAGATATAGCCTAGATCATTAAAATGTTGGTTAATACATGTCTCAGTTGCAAATTCAATCCCTGGGCTGGGTATTGCTGAAAAGTCTCATACTCTGGTTCAGTGGAAGAAACAGACAAGTAACACAAAGTTGAATAAGACTGATGAGTATTAACAGATAGGTGAGATAACTGACAACATAGAAAGTTGAATAAGAATAATCCACCCTTAAATTGAATAAAGGGTTTCATTACTGAATATAACAACAGTCAACTGAAAACAGCTGGATAGTTGTGAGTATATTAATATATACACTAATGTAGTGTTTCCTCTACATTTGTGGGTTTTCAGCCCTTGAATAATTTTTAGCTCATTTATAGAAGAAGGCAAGAAAGAAAGGATGATAGTGTTTAAGGGCTCTTTCAGTGAAATAGAAAAAGTTGTCAATTTCAAAAAATTCATTTGTACCCACTTCTTAAAATAACGACCAGCATTCATATTTATGATTGTTATTGCATTATTTTGTTAAAGTTGTTAATCTTAAACATTTAATGATGCGATAGGGTATTTCTTCTGGTATTTTTTATCGAACTTGCCGTAAGCTTATTATAATTAAATAAATCATTAACTTCATTAGAAAATTCAGAAAACCGTGAAAATTTCACAGGTCTTTCTAGTAAATATTTAATAGTTCTGAATCAAAGAAAAAATTGAGTTTAAAGGCACTATTCAGACTTTGCTTGGCCATTCATGCACTCTGTAGACGAGAGGTCAAAGCATGTCAGATCTAAAAACAGTTTTTTTTTCCTTAGGGGGAACGCTAGTTCGAATTCTTGAAGAGCGTGTATTTTTCTAATAAGATTTCTCGAATATTCAGACCGGTAGACGAAAATAAATAAATATTCTGTTTAATAAATAAATTGAGCATCTACTCAAACATAAGTATCCACTAAAAATAACGTTTAACTAATCAAAATCTATTGGATAAATAAATGAAAAGTCCGTTCCTTTCTTTAGAAATGTACTTCTTGTGTTTAAGTGTTATAGATTATATTAAATTGAAGAATTTAGAGTTATTTCCCCTTGAGCTAAGGGGCTCCCTCATTAAAATGAGAATTAAAATGACAATAGATTTTTTTTTGTTTTTATACAGGAAACTACAGAGTTTTATGCATTTTTACACGAGATGCCTCTTAAACAGAGCAAATAGATAATTGATTAAAAACAGTGCTATTAAATTTTCCCCATAGACAGTTTGATCAGTCTGGTGGGTAATGATAGTTATTAACTACCATAACAAGAAAAAAAAATTACTGAATAGTTCTCAATGACCAACCATATATTTTTTATTATGCTATTTGAATGCAGGTGCAACAAAGTTTTTTCACACCAGATGGATAGGTGAGGGGGTGCTGAAAAGCACTTTTTTCATATAGAGAGGAATGGAGATGAAAACAATAGAATACCTGCTTATTGTATTAGTTAAAAATGCTTACATTTCTTTGCCTTTTTCCCTAATATCAGATTATGTTCTTTTTTTAGCATTCCGACAATTTATTTTATTGACGATGAATTATTTACATTCACACGAATGTACTTATCTTTGTTGCAATTGTCACAACGTTTTGGTCATTCCACCCTCCAGACCTCTTCAAGTGTCTTTTGATTGAGGTAAATTTCAAGCAATTTTGTACTGAACTATATATTTAATATACAGAGGTAGATTGTTCTCATTCCACTGTCTATGTCTAGAGATACCTCATGGTGTTCTTTTTACTACTGCTCGGTTATTGCTCACCCCATTTCCAGTTAGTCTGTACTACTCAGCCCAGGGATTGAACCCACAATTACTATGTCACCAAATTCAGATAGAAATTTGTACTTCTTATTTTAAAATTCAAAAATTTAAAGTTTGAATTCCAGTTGTGTTCATTATGTTCACTTACACACAAATACCCCTGGGGAAGGTATGAATCCATGACTTATCCCCCCAGCTATGGGTTGAATAGCAGGACAAACTGGGTACTATAGCCTTGGTCAGCAACTAGTATACTGCAAAAAGAAATGTCAAACTACTGTGGAAAAATCTTCTAACTAGTCAGTCATAAATCGAAAGAGACATGACCACCTGGATGAGAGTGTGACAAAAAGGTATAACTAAATCTACAACATGAGGCCCTTAAAACATAAATAGTTAATACTTATCTGTAGAGAAGAAGAAAACAATTCTGATAAATAGAACAATGATTTCTAAGAAAATTAAACCTGAAGTGTGCATCACATTTAGCACTTAACTGACTGATTCTAAAATTTGAAAATCTCTAATAAAAGAAAAGAAAGCAAAATTAACTAATTTCAAAAGATAAAAAAACTTGATATATTTTATTTATTTAAGTTAGTAAATGTTAGAGTTTTCTCCATTATTGGTAGATATTCAGAAAACTGATTTTATACATGTTGGGATTTAATCCAGTAAATATGGCTGTTGATTTTTCATTTTTCTTTAATTTATAATCTTCCACACAGAAGTAAAGTGAATTGTGAGAATGCTTAAAGCTAGATATATACACCAATCCTCCACAATTTGCTTTGTGAAATACACTCTGCTACCTTCCTGTTTATTACTTCAGCATTTTTTGTTTTTTTCTAAATACTTTTTTCTCCTTTTAACCATATCAGTTCCATAAATGGTACAAAAAAGTAAAGTAAAAAAAAAAGACATGGCGTCTACTCAAACATAGATCTCAACAAAATGTTTGGAGTAGTAGAAAATAATGTCAAATAAAAACTATTGATTCCTTAGAAATATATATTATACACAATCTGTGTGCTCATCAATGTATGTTGAATTAATGAGTCATCTATCTATATATACAAAATTCTGTGACTTCTGTTCGTCTGTCTGTCACACCCTCTAAAATAGCCATACAGTAACTTTATGTAAGCTACCTAAACTAGCTGAAATCGGTTGTTTTTTTAGTGAAAACAACTCGATTTTGATTATTTTTTAGATGTTTTCGTAACTTTGCAAACACCATTTATTTTTTTCTTTTTAACAAGAATCCAGTTTTCTAGTTTGCTCTGTGCTTGCAAGAAGGATCTGCAATGTAATCAATCCTGACCAGGCATCTTGACATCATTCGCTTTCTCACAGATGTGATGTGGTTTCCCACTGTCTTTTCTACAAATATTTTCATGGCAACAGCTCTGATGAGCATTTTTCCCTGGTGCCCTGACAGCATGAATTTAAGTGTGCTACTAGATTGGCAATTAGGTTCCACACTTTTACTGTTGAAATAGTTAAATGAAACTGCTACTACAACAGTTTCTTTTTTCGCACTTCCTGACTGTGGAACACCCTTCTGCTTACTTGCTTCCCTGATAACTACAATCTTCAAATATTTAAATGCAACATTAATTGCCACTTGAACCCCCGTTCATCTTTTATCCTTTCTTTAATCCCCCCTATACCCAGTCTTTTCTCTTACTTTTACTCTCCATAACCCCCTGCATACTAGTGCACTCCTGCCTTGCTTGGGGTGAGATGATAAAAAAAAAAAAAGATCTATAAATACATCACAATGCTAAATGCTTCAAAAAGTTGGAATTTGACTCCAGAAAGAAATATTTACCATGGCCAATTGTATGCTGCATGCTCAGAAGTAAAAAATCATAAGAATTTATTCTTCGCTGTTAAAAAGGGAAAAAAAAATTTCTTAAAAAATATTGTCACCATGAAGTCCTATTAAATTAAAGAAATTACTAAACTGTGAAATAGGGTTTTTGTCAAAGTATTTTTCTAAACAAATCAGCTTATTCAATTTTCATTGATTGGTTTGCAAAATTGAACAAAACGTAGAGTTTGAAATCTCGACAAAAAATGTTAGCAATAACTTCACCAATACTAAATACTGTGAGGATTTTAACACATGTCAATGAGTTGCAAAAAGATTTTAGTGTTGATAAAATGTATCTTTGATTGATTGGTTGATTCCTTTTAATTAAAATCCATTAGTGTATTTCAAAAATATCAAAGATATTATTTTTCAGTTCTTTTTAGGTTCAGATATCAAATTTTTCTATGTAAATATAATTTATAAGATTAATATTAAATCAGTGTTTTACACTTTTTCATGCAAGACAATGTTTATTGATGGGAGAAAAGAGAATGCACATTTATGAAAATTTAAATTGGCAATTAATATTAGGTATCTGAAACTCTTAGTTTATGTATTGTGCAAAAATGTCTCAAAATAGTGAAATTTCCTTCCATTTCAACTGCTGATGTCTTGTTTAATTACAAGGCTATTTTGATAAAATTAGTATGTAAACAAAATTTAATCTTTTTTCTTTTTAAAGATACAATTCTTTCTCATGTGTGGTGATATTTTATTCTACGTCTCTTTAAATGTCACTATTTCAATGGTGTTCAGTGCTTTTCCACATTTTCAAAGTTGACAATTTTTTAATATAAAAAATTTCCTTTATTTCAGAAAAGTCTTATATGTAATTTTGTTTCATAATCATTTACTTTTATATTTACAGGAGATTATAGAGTTCCCAGTATTGAAAATTAATTCTAGAACGTTAGAGACAGAATCCAAATTCCATACCTATGTTCAGCCAACTGTACACAAACGTCTTAGACCATTCTGCACTGAAGTAAGTTATCCTTCCAATTTCCAACACAAATAAACTAGAATATTAGTAACTTTTTTTAGTAAATCTTTTTATATAGTTATGTACATTAATGTGATTACATTGTGTTTTTAATTGTTTGACTTCAGACAGGCTAGAGAAGGGAATAAATAAAAGACAAAGAGATGAAAAATACTGGCATCCACCTTATATTGGAATTGGGTTTGATTTCTCTCATGATGGTAATTTTCAAAGATACTAATTAATATTTTTGATTTAAACAGGCTGAACTGTTTATAAATAAATTGTCTAAGAGTTAAAACATTTTTTTCCTCATGCTGCTTATGACTACAAACAATTGGAGAAAATCTGAACAGACTTTTTTTTTTCTGGTAAGCATATTAACAACAAAAGAACTTTTTACAAAGACAAAAATAAATGGCCATCTACTACAATTGTTATTCTCTTTCAAATCTCTTATTCTCTATCTCTGTCTGAAGTTATTTATAAATCATATAAAATTCAGTAATTCAAATTTGGTTTTAAAAAAATTGTCAAATTTTAAACAATCAATTTTGGTATCAAAACAAAGCCTGATTTAAAACTTTAGGAAGTATTAATGTTTTATTGAAGGTATTTGATGTATTCTAAAAAACTGCTGTCTGAACTTATTAAGCAAATAATCTCATTTTAATTTCAATAAAACTAATAAAATCATCAAAAATTGATTGACACTTATAACAGAACAAATAACAAACACACATGATAAGTCTTTGAATTCTTTACATTTTAATATAATCACCCTTCTTCTCAATAACAGCCAGTAATCAATTATCCATTGATTTTAATTTTTTTTTACTTCAGCATGTTCAAATTCCAACGTGGTAGTTTTAATTACTTCCCATATGCCTGCTTTGCTGTTATATTGTTTGCCACCTTCATATGATTTCATATTCACAATTGACCATAGATTTTCAATTGGATTCAAATCAGGACTTGATAGTGGCCATTCCATTATTTTTTCTCCTGTAAACCTTTTATGCTCAAATAATTCACAATAATCTTAGAGACATGAGAAGGAGTATTGTCATGCATAAATGCACACTCCACTTTGAAATTGCAAGAAATTCTTGTTCATAAAATTGCAATAGTTAGCACTGTTCAGTTTAACTGCTTCATTGACTTTGAATGGTCCAACAATGGTTTGGTTGATAATTCCAGCCCTTACCTTAACACTACCACCTTGTTGTTGCCTTCTTTTAGCCACAAGCACATCTGAATTGAATAAAATCGATCCTTTGGCCTGTCCATCAGGTCTATCAAATGTCACTTTAAATTCATCTGTGAAAATTACTTTAGAAAAGTCAATTTTCATGTATTTCTTGGCCTAATTTTGACACTTTAAAATATTTGCTTTAATAAGAGGAGGTTGCCGAGGTGATTTTATTTTTACACATCCCAATTCACAAAGTATTCTACACCCTTTGTTCTCCTTGTCTCCCTCAATTCCAGCCTTTTCAAAGATTTGAGTGCTGGTCAAAAGTGGTTGTTTTGCTATGACTTGTTTTAGTTTATGTTCATCTATTGGAAGCATGTTCTTAAAGCCTTTTCCTTTGCTTCGAGTTCTTATATTTTCAAAAGCCTTCTTTATCATTCGATGATCTTTGCAGAGCTCCTTTGATATCTCCAATGTGGACATTCCTTAACTCAATAAATTTATTTTCTATTTTTCAGCAGTTGTTAGACCTTTCCCTTTACCTATGTTTCAACATATAGACTAAAAGAAAAAAATAGTCTTTTAGATTTCAGCTAATATTAGTTTAATCTACATAATAACTTAAGTCAGTCCATTTTCATAAATTCCAAATATCTCAAAAACTAACCATTAAAAATGGCAGAAAATTTAATTAAATATCCTACTAAGGGTAGAAATGGATGAGTTTAAATTTGACAAATATTGGTTCAGAACTTTTTGAGTTATTGAGGTTTATTTGGGTGGCATAATAAAATCAAACAGGCTGTATACACATTTTTGTATGAAGTTGAAAGTTGATTCGTAGTTAAATCAAGTCATACACACACAATTTTAACTTAGGCTGTGTGTTGGTATATATGTCTATATAGTTTTAAATCTTCATTACACTGTTGTTGTTATCCAAATTAAAGTGTTTTTCTTAAATCCATTCTAATCGAGTTTCATCAAATAGTAAAATAATTGATAATTTTTATTTTCTGACTTTATAATGTACAATTATAAACTATTTTTGGCACCACAGAAATTCCATGGGGCAGTTTTGCAATTCATATGCATTGAAACAATACCTACTTCTATTGATAGATGGATGCCTCTTCTTTTATTTACTGTGTCTTGGTTTATTCCTTCTTTTTTTTCTTTTAAACATTTCACCACCCCACCCCAATGAAAAAGCCACTAAGATGCAAGGGGTTGCTGAGAGTGAAAGAAACTGAGAAAACATTATGGAAAAGAGAAGATAATAAGAAAGAACCAGAAGAAAAAAGATGATAATTGATGTTGCATTTAAAGTTTTGATCGTAATTGACAGAACTTTTGCATAATCTCAAACCGATATAAGAGATAGATCCAAAATTTGAAATTGTGGTTCCCGTCAACCATTTTGAATATTTAATGTGCTAATAAGATCTACTTTTTATAAAGTTTTGTATAGTTTTAGGAAGGCAGATTATAACCCTTCACAATGAATGCTTTGGTAGAATTATTTTACCTTTTTTTTAATTTTGAGAATTTTTTTAAATTAACAAAACTAATCAAACTTGGTCACCAGAAGTTAGTTAATAGGTTAATATACAAAATATTGTTTACAGTTTAATTTAACAATTTTTAATCTTGATGAAAAATATAATTATATTTAGGTTTCATAGGCTTAACAGAAAGTCATTATGATTTTATGCTGTTGTGACATTTCAAAACAAGATTGTTGGTTAAATATTGATAATGGAAAGTATTAGATTGTAACACATGAAATGATGCATTTTTGTTGGTTGTTGATTTGGTTGTCTAACAAAGTAACTTCCTTAATATATAAAAAATCTATTATCTTATTCATGACTCTTTTACTTTCCAGATAATTTTTCTTTTAATACATTGTTACTCATAAGCCCAATGAAAATGATTACAATGAAATAATGTCGAGTAATCTTAGTGTATGATTACAAACTGGTTTCATTCTGCCTCTGGAACATTTGGGAATATCAAGGCAGCCTTTAGTAATGGTATTGTTGAAATCAGAACTGTACAGAGATGGTTTCAGAAATATTGTTCAGGACATTATAGTCTTAAAAATAAAACAAGGGGAAAATGACAATTGGTTATCAGACATTTTGGTTGATCAAAATCCAATAATTTGCATCAGAACTTGAAACATCTCGCACAACTGTTTCTTGGCATTTGAAAGCAATTGGAAAAATAAAGAAACTGGATAGGTTTTGCATGAACTGAATGAGACTCAAAAAAAAATAAAAAATAAAAAAAAAATAATGTTGCTTTGAGTTGTGCTCTCTGTTGCTTTCCTGACCAGAAAAAGAACCATTTTTGCATCAAATTATTACATACAATGTGAAATGGATACTCTTTGACAATAGTATGAGTGTCGGCAAATGGTTAGATGCATATATACATATTAGGTTGTCACACATGAAATGACATGTTTTGGTTGGTTGTAGATCCAGTCATCTTAGTATATGAAAAAATCATGACTTATTTCTGATTCTTTCTTTCCAGATAATTTTTCTTTCAATATATTATTATTCATAAGCCTGATGAAAATGATTACAATGAAACAATGTCAAGTAATCTTATTGTATGAGTACAAACTAGATCATTCTGCCTCTGAAGCATTTCAGAATATCAAGGTGGCCTTTGGTAATGATATTGTTGAAATCAGAATTGTACAGAAATGGTTTCCATTTCAGAAGTTTTGTTCAGAAGATTACAGTCTTGAAAATAAACCAAAGAGGAAAACCATGATTGATTATCAGACATGATTAATTGAAGGCTTTGCTTGATTAACATCTGAAAGCTATAATCCAAAAACTTGCATCAGAACTTGAAACATCTTGTACAACTGTTTCTCAGAATTTGAAAGCAATTGGAAAAGTGAAGAAACTGGATAGGTTTGTTCCGCATGAACTGAATGAGACACAAAAAAAAAACGTGGCTTTGAATTGTGCTCTCTGTTGCTTTCCTGACTGGAAAAAGAACCATTTTTGCACTGAATCATTACATGTGATGAGAAATGGGTACTCTTTGACAACAGTAAGAAAGTAGGCCAGTGGTTAGATACAAGTGAATCATCAAAATAATACCTGAAACCTCCATTGCATCCTAAAAAGTTAATGGTTACTGTATGGTGGTCTTTCAAAGGGGTTATTCATTATTCATTCTTGCCTCAAGGGAAAACAATAACAGCAACCTCGTATTGTGGAGAAATTGAGTGTATACACAAAAAATTGAAAAAGAAATATATGTAAATAGGGATGGCCCAATTTTACTGCATGACAATGCATAGTTGCACACTTTTCAATCAACTGTCCCAAATTTGCATAGCCTAAATTATATTCACCAGCTATCTCTCCTACAGATTATCACTTATTTAAGCATTTTGAGCTTTTCAGACACAATAAAATATTCTCCAATAATCAAAGCATTTGAACTGTTTATCACATCAAAGGATGAGAATATTTTAAAGATGGGATCAAAAATTTAGAGGTATGTTGGTGAACAGTCATTCATTAACATGGTGCCTATTTTAACTAAATAGTTATTTAACATTTCAGTTGCATTTTATTCATTTCCCATAAAGTTTGTCATTTCATGTGTGACAGCATAATATATTTTAACCATGTCAAAATTTTAGTGTTAAATTTTGTTTATTATAGAATGGCACATCATTTTTTTTTTCATCCCAATAGAATAATTAATGGGTGTGTAAGTAGTCAGGTGACAATAATTGGCATTAATTTTTCTCTTGCACTTCTTGCTTGTGGAACATTCTTCCGGCTTCTTGCTTGCCAGTCAATTTTGATCTTCAAAAATTTAAATGCAATATCAATCATTATCTGCTGTCTTCTTAATTCCTTTTCTTTTATTGTTCTCTCTCCTAAATAGTGTTTTTCTTTTTCTCATATTGGTTCACAATCACTAACTCAACCCTTTGCATCTTGGATGAAATGATTAATAAAAATTAACCAGCATTATACATTTTGTAGATAGGTATTACCTGTATTAATATCTAGACATTTTTATTGTGTATTCTCAGATAATTGAAAAATAGTTGATCTCAGCTTAATCCCATTTAAAAAAAAATTTATAGCTTGTGTTATTAAATGTTTTACTTGTATCATTTTATTTTGCATTCAAATTTATTTTCACTTCAGTTGACTGGAATCATTCAAGATATGGTTGATAACCAACCAACTTTGTCAGAAGTACTCAAGGTAAGAACCAAATGTATATAAGGATTGTCATTTGTTAAACTGTAAGAACCTTTATTCTTCTCTAGATGAAAGAATGAAAAAGAGGAATAAAGGCCTTTATTCCTCTTTCATTTTTTATTTTATTTATGAAGCCATAAGAACCTTTGTTCTTCTTTTTCATTCCTTTATTTATTAAAACATATAAGACTTTGTTCTTCTTTTTCATTCCTTTATTTATTAAAACATATAAGACTTTGTTCTTCTTTTTCATTCCTTTATTTATTAAAACATATATGACTTTATTCCACTTTTTCATTCTTTCATTTATTAAACCACAAGAGCCTTTATTCCTCTCTTTCATTCTTTCATATTAATATAAAAATTAATGTTTAAATGCTGTATTTCTTCCCTTATAAATCACACCTTCTTCAAAACTATCAGAATGTTTTTCAATTTATATCAACAAAAAATAGGCCTAAATTGATTACAGTGTGATTAATGAGATTAAAATTATCACAGAATGTAATTTCTAGACATGGCAATAATCTTGATTGATCTTTATATTTGTAATATAAAAGATCTGATTAGTGTTCCCATAAAAGATCATTTCTTTTTGCTTCCATGATTGGTCTCAAAGAAATTTGAAAAACCCCAATACAGACTGAAAGGTTGGCATCCCTCAGGTTCACATGATACTGTTGAACCTTGTAATGAGAATAAATGTATGTGTTGAGAATTTTTAAAATCTTTTGAGACCTCTTTGAATTCATTTATTTATTGTAATCATTTCATCCCAAGCAAGGTGATAATTCCACTAGGATGCAAGGGGGTTCTTGGAGTGAAAGAGAATGAGAAAACTTTACTGAAGAGAAAGAACAATAAAAGAGCAGGTTTTGGGTGGACAGAAGATGGCGATTGACATTACATTTAAATTTTTGAAGATTGTAGGTAGCAGGGAAGCAATAAATTGGAAAAGAGCTTCACAGACTAGAGGGATGAGAAAAGAAACTATTAGAGTAGAACATACAGTTGCATCTTGCTATTTCAACAGTAAAACAGTGAGACCTAACTGCCAATCTAGTAGCACGCTCATTCATACAGTAGAGGAAGGCTCATCAGAGCTGTTGCCATGAAAATATTTGTAGAACAGACAGGGAAGCTACGTCGCATCATTGAAAAAGTGACTGAAGTTGAGATTCCAGGTCAGGACTAATAACATTGCAGAAAATAATTATCAATATATGACAATTTGTTAACTGCCCCTAAGTTAAACAAAAAAATTAAAATTAAAATACTGAAATTCCAACCTGTAGATTTTTATTCATTCAAAGGTGATAACAGAATTGGAAACACTTGAACTTTGAACTTCAAAATGATCATTCAGTTATGTGCCATGCATCATACACACTTAGGCGATCATGAAACTTTTGATACATGACTGACGATGCAGATTTTTTCCCGCAATAGGTTGCCATTTCTTTCTATGGTAGACCAGTTGCCATCCAAGGCTATAGAACCTGGTCTGTCCTGCTATTTACCCATAGCTGGGGGGAGAAGAAAAGGATTCATACCTTTCCCAAGGGTATTAGCACATAAGTGAATGTAATTGATTCATATTCCAGTCAAATCCTTTTCATTCACTTACGTACTTATACCCTTGGGAAAGGTATGAATCCTCTTCATACAAGTGTTGATTTTTGTTTTCTTTATTGAAATGTACAAAAATGTTGGTTTTGTTTTCTTTAAAAAATTGTGAAAATATGATCTATTCTATAATATAAAACATTGTAACACATATTTCTTGGTCGTGCAATTTATCACCTTCTTAGTAATGAAACATTCCAATTTTATGTTAACCAAAAGTAAAACTCATGTCAATAAATGAATGTTTAATTAGTATGTAGGGGAGATCAGGCTGCTAATGCAGTTCTTATTCATCTTTTGTTTCATGTAAAATTTCTATGAATATTTTTATTTTAACAATTTAAAAAGAATTCTTTCTTACACGTGAAAGTAGAGTTTATTTTATAGATAAAAATCATAAATTACAAGAAAATGAAAAAAATAGTTCAAAATTAATTTAAGTACAAACACTGTAATTACAAAATATATCACTACCATCTTTTGATGGTATGGATAAACAAAAAGTCTGATTTAGCATGTCTAAATAACTGTGATGGTATATTGAATTAAATTAACCTTCAAATGCATTAATTTAAGGAATTAAATAAAAAATTCGAGTGATTAGCTGCTGAATGATATTTTAAGGTCTGTAGTACTGAACTGTTATGTGATATCTGTTCTCCAATATGGTAATGAATGGTGGAAAATCTCAAAGATGAAGAAGAGACTTGAAGCAACAGAAATGTGGTTCTACAGAAGGATGCTGAGGATACTATAGGAGAATATGTGAGCAACGAAAGTTTTAGAGAAAATGTAAACAAAATAGAAACCTATATTTAACATCAGGAACAAACAGTTGAAATTTCTAGGGCACATAATGAAGAAAGAGGGCTTGGAAAATTTGATACTCACAGGACAGATTGAAAGCCATAGGGACAGAGGAAAACTATGTATAATATTTAGTGAGGGTTTAGGCGAAATAAAACAGGCAATTTATTAAAAGCTACAAATGACGGGAAACCATGATCACCTACCTCCTGAGAATACACGGCTCATAAAGAAGAAGAATTTGGGCTCAACTGAAAAGAAAAATAATTTTTCAAGGGAGGTAACTATTAAATGATAACTGTAGAGTACTCTACCTTATTTAATTGCATATGAATAAAAAAAGATCTGGGTGCAAAATAGCAAAAGATTCTGAACTAATATGAACTTTTTTTATAACTTCTTGAATTTTATTTAAGCGCGATACAAATTTAACTGATTATCACGCTACATTTACGTTCATATGTACTAATGAGACATTTGGAAACTTTTACAAAATCTGGTATTTCTTTGAGAATGTATTCAATTTTCTGACCATCTTGAATGAAAAACAAATACAACATTGTTCAGGGCACTCCATCTTACCACTTGTGTGTTTTGTAGATGATATTATTGGGTTAAAGGTTGTTTGATTGCTAGAACAATTAATGAGTTACGAAACTTCTGCCCATCATAATGGATAGGTGTTCTTACAAGCTGGTTCCTTGCCTTGAACGTCTATTGGGACTCAAGCTCACACCAAACCTCAAGTGGAACTCTTATATACAATCTATTTCTAAAGATGCTTGAATAATGGTCAGTTCATTGTATTGCTCCAGTAAGTATTTGACTCCCTCTGCTATTATTTATATTGTTCAGACTGTTGTCCTCATCTTTATTGATGATTGTAATTTCAAACTGAACCCTTTATTTTGTCCACCGGAGTAGATTATTCTAGTTCTACGTGCCATGCCTCTTTCGGATGTCTCAGCTACCTCCCTTTAACTTAACTCACCATGTTTTTGTTCACTACTGCAATAGCCAGGTATTGAACTCACAACTCTTTTGGTCAAGTCACTGGATCCAACCAATGCATTTTTCTGCTGGGACATGAGGACATCAGTGTATGAGTTTTTGGTACTTATAAACTTAATGTCTCAGTATCATTTTTTACCAGAGCTCATATTGCAATTTATTGCTTTTCTCTAGCACTCCGTATTACTGGTTCCCATATTGTATTCATTGAAATATGGTTGGTTGGATCCAGTGACTTGAACCAAAGAGTTGTGAGTTCAATACCTGGCTACTGCAGTTTTGAACAAAAACCTGGAGAGTTGAGTTAAAGGTAGATAACTGAGGCATTTGGAAGAGGCAACATACATGCAACTAGAACACTCTACCCGGTGGACAAAATAAAAGGTTCTGTTCAAAATTCCAATCACCTGAAGAAGGCTGGAGTGTACAATGGTGGAAATGTCATGAATATAGTAATAAAAATGAGAACAACTGTCCGAATAATGTAAATAATTACAATATCCATCTGCTATACACTACAATAGCCAGATCAGACAAAAAAAAAAAATGGAGAATTGCTGCCATATCTGGTTGGAGCAGCCCAGTCCTCACTTGCCTGTTTTGATAGTTACAAAGCATCTATTCAGCCTCATGGGTGATAAAGTATTTTCCACCCTGCAACCCTTTTTCCACAGACAAAATGTTGCAAGCCTCTCTGCTCTTTCATTATTTCCATTGCATGTATTCTGACAAGCTTCATTCCTTGGTCCTACCAGCCTTGACCTTTACAGTTGGGACCCACCATGACATGTATACAAGAATCAATCATCCTCATTCTTTTCATATTTCATTAATAAGAAGTAACTTCCACTTGGACAGTGTATTCCCAAGAACTGCCGCTTTGTGAAACAGCAGAATGTTCACCCAACCACTACAACCTTGAGCACTTCAAGTCTAAAGTTAACCATTATTTTTCATGAACTTCTTGCATTTTCTTATACTCATTCAACACTGCACAGTAATTCCTTTTTTCTTTTTTTATTTCACCCCAAGCAAGGCAATTAAGCCACTAGGATGCAAGAGATTACTGAGTGTTAGAGAATATAAGAAAAACTACTATTAAGGAGAGAGGACAATAAAAGAACAAAGAATTAATGATAATGATTGACATTGCATTTACATTGAGTGACTCTTGGGAATTGTATTGGATAAAAATTAGTATCAAAAATGTTGCTATTGTATAGTTATATAAAATAGTTTTAAAGATTATATTGTGGTCTCTTTAGTGGTCCAATAAATACTTCGAAATTTTGACTTTTTTTGTGAACAACCTGAATAAATGTTTATGGCTTTATAAATGAAATCTAAAGTGAACTAAATAGTTGTAACACAACGGCTTTAAAGAAAGCAAGTAGAAAGATTTTTTAAATCAATTGTTTATATAAAATAGGTCTTTGTAAAAATATCTATCCATAGAAAATTACTGCCAAATTCTTTTGCCATGTTTGTTTTTATTATTGTTTGCCATCATTAAAATGAGGTAAAAATGTCTTTTATAAAAAATAGAAAATTTAAAAAAATATTCTACAATTCTTTTCTAATATTCAGGATTTTCATGAATGGATGCTGAAAAATAAACTTTTGGAGCCAGAAGTGAAACCAATTTTTGTAACTTGTGGAGACTGGGATTTAAAAACAATGTATGTTTTCTTTTCTTTTTTTAAATTGTATATGTTACCTTTTTCCAGAATCTGAAAAGATAAGCTCATTAACCACTGGATCATAGCTGACATCTTGTTTGCAAGATACATTTTAGTCCTGAGTTTTTTTTACTTAGGAAGTGATTCAGGATGTGATTCAATTTGTAGAGGATAAAGGCAGTCAAAGCAATGATTGTCTTGGAGCATCTGTTTGAATTTCTGGGATGAGGAGTTATCAATGATATTTATATTTGGACTATTGTCCTCATCTTTGTTGTCGTTATCACATTTCAGCTGTTGTACCCTCCAGGCTTTCTTAGGTACATAGAGCTGGGTAACCTACAAGGAATTTTGAACTGCTTCAGTTCAGAATTTCCTGTAGCTGGGAGGAGGGTAATTTTGCTACAATTTTACTAATCATAAATGGAAAAGCTTTACTACAACTGGTTCAGTTCAGAATTCACTGTAGGTTATCCAAATCAATTACCCAGATCAATATAGACCTGAGAAAGGCCTGTGGCACAATGGACAAAACATGGTGATAACAACAACAAAGATGAGGACAACAGTCCAAATATAAAGTGTAAATGAAAAGCTAATTTTTCAAAACTGTTAAATAATTCTGATCTGTTTCAGTAATATGTTAAAATTTGTTTATGATACGTTAAAACAGAGTCATAGTTAAGACAGCCATAAAGTAATGTCGAATTTGTATAAATATGAATCTTATTATATAGACATACTAGAGTTCCAGACACACACACACACACACATATATATATATATATATATAAATACACATTATCCTATGTTTGGTGTGCAACTTAAGTTTTGTAGGTTAACCAACTTGTCGGGCACAAGATATACCTATAGTGCCCAACGAGTTGGGTAGCCAACAAAACTTAAGTTGCACACCAAATGTAGGATAATATGTATTTATTAATATATATTTCTTAGCTCTGTCTAATCACATTGAGTACTATTATGTCTACACTTCTTGGCTAAATTTGGTAATTATTTATTTGCTTACCAATGTATGCATGTCAGCATGCGCATATACGGTTGTTAATATCTAGTTGTTTCATTTACCTAACCATATATACATATATATATATATATATATATATATATATATATATATATATATACACACACACACACAGTCTGAAATCGGTAAATTGTTGCCATTTTATATTTTTAATTTTGCACATACATGTTTGTTTTTGATTTTGTTGACTGCACAATGTAGTAGGATCAGTTGGTCACTGTCAATGAGAAAAAGAGCACATGAAACAGTATACTGTACTGCTTGGAACTCAAACCAGAAGCTCCAATACAAACATTTCAGAGCATTTGACTGCACAGAGGATTCAGAAAGAGTTAGATGAGTTTAATGGTGATTACAAAGGTACAGCAGCTCAGAAAACTCACTCTGATCATTCTAAGAAAAGAATCTGAATTTGATGGTGAGGTCCTCAGACTCAACATGGAGGCCTACATCATGTGCCTTGAGGAGGTAATGCTGCACTGGGTCAAGAGGGTGGCTGCTGGAAGAACCTATATTTGGCGACATGCCACGCAAGCACAAAAACCTAGTAATGGCTGTCAGACAATTTCTGTGACTACATCACCCCTTACATCTGGCCACCTAACTCCCTAGACTGCAACCCCCTTGATTATTATGTGTGGGTTGCAGTTGAGCATGGAACCAACAAAACTCCTTGCAACAAAAAAGATGAGCTGAAGGCAGGGATGATGGCAGCATTCACCAACTTAAATAAGGAGACCGTCCAGAAGAGTTGCAGGAGATTCCGAAATCATCTGGATGCCACAGTTGAAGACAATGGTGATTTTATTGAATAAATTTACTCTTTAGTATTTAAAGATATTTTTGTGTAATTTTGGTAAATATATCTGTTAAGAAAAGATGTCAGTGTTATTTTCATTTTTGTGTAATTTAGACTACAAATTATCCATTGCATTCTGTATATATGATAAAAGAAGGAACAAATAGCAAACGTTAAATAAATTTAACATGTTTTACTTTTATTTCAACTTCATCAGAAATTTGTTGTGGAAGAGAATGTACTCGTACATTTGAGTTCTGTGTCTGTTTACATCCACTTATGTTCTAATACCCTTGGGGAAAATATGAATCCTCTTTTTCTCCCCTCAGCTATGGGTAAAATAGCAGAACAAACTGTGTTCTGTAGCCTTGGATGGCAACAGGTCTATCACAGAAAGAAATGGCAACCTACTGTGGGGAAAAAAATCTGCATCATCAGTCATGTATCAAAAGATACATGATTGCCTAAGCATGCATCATGCATGGTGCATAACTGACTGATTGTTTCTTTTTCTTTAGTCAGGTAGATCTCCTGTATTTATGTCTTGTGGCTTTAGTATATGTGTGCGTGCATCTGAATTCTAATGGGCATTATAGTGTTGGTGTGTTTAATTCCAGAAGATGGTAATGGGAGGAAAATGGGAAGGGTGTGCCTGTATGCGTGTGTATCAAGTTTCTAATTGGGCTTGCGGTAATTGGTATTGGTATGTGTGTGGATGATGTACGTTATTAATGTTGAAGTAAATTCTGTGGTCTAGGAAAAATCATCTGTAAATTTGGAGATATGTGGGTGGGTAAGTGTTGGTTTAATTGGTGGCAGCTATCATGTATAAAACAACAGAACCAAATACACCAGTATATGTCTATGGTTAAATATAAACGAAAAAACCATTATGTGGGACTAAATATCATAAACATGAGATCTACCTGACTAATGAAAACTAAACACAGAACTGAAATGTACCAGAACTTTCTCTTCTACAACTCATATTCAAAACCTTCTGAAGAAGCTTAAATAATAGCAAAACCTGTTAAATTTATAAACATTTCCTATTTGTTCTTTATTCTATCATTCTGTTGGATTTTAATCCATGTTTGATTCCAGTTCATATATATATATATATATATATATATATATATATATATATATATATATATATATATATATGAAGAAAAATATACGGAAAAAAAAACAAACAAAAATCCTAATATGCAATTATACTGTTTTAATGTTAATATAATGTCAACGTCAGATGGTTTGGTCTAATAGACCATTTTCAGGACATATTCATAAAACATAATTAACATTAGACCATATTCACTTCAACATGAAAAAGATGATTGACATAAGAGCAAGACCAATCCAAACAGATAACTGAAATCTTTTATAAGATCAGCGTTCCATTTAAATATGATTATGTCGTTGTCACGTGGGCGATGTTGTGAAAACGTATTCCTAAAATTTGAGTATTTTGAATGAAAAACGAAAAGAATTTTATTTTGATCTAAAACTTATATGTACGTTTGTCGAGCATTAATCTTGCTAGAAAAGGGGAAATATTAAAGAAGCCAGGTCTAGTGTTCACCGTGCATGAGATATATTATGCCTGCTTCATAAATCCGCCTAAGATTTTTATTATGAAAATATTTTTAAATCTTCACAGAATCAAAATCAAAATTATGATCTATTAGACCGAAACGTCCGACGTCGACATTATATTAACATTAAAACAGCATAATTGCATATTATGATTTTTGTTTGTTTTTTCCGTATATTTTTCTTCATACTGTCAGATCTATATCCATATATTTGCTTATATATATATATATATATATATATATATATATATATATATATATATATATATAAAGATAAAAGGAAATACTATTCTTTACTGAAGCTTTTCATACTCTGATGAACTTTATAAGGGAAAAGTAAGGATTTTATTTAGCAACATTTATTTATAAACAGAAATAAAAATATTAAGTTTTCAAAATTTTTAAATTTAAGGATGCTCATAAATATTCTTCAGGCTAACTGTGAAAGTCAAGGTAAACTATGGAGGCTGTTAAGTGATGTAATTTAATGCCTAATAAACATTAAATTTGCCTTGATCAAGTTCATCAAAGGTTGAAATTTGTTGGTAAATAAGATTTTCTTTTTGTCTTTATTCATATTGTCTTTTTACAGATAAGAATTAACTTTTTTCTTTTTTATTTCTTGTTCAAATTAAAGAGAGAATGCACCAAATTCAAATATTTAAAAAATATTTTTTCTTTATGCATTTATTTTTTAGGATTTTTAATTTTATTTGTTACTGTAGAAATGTTTTCTCCCTGTTTTTTATTTGATTTGATTTTTATAGTTCTCATTTCATCTGTGCATTTTCTTCTTTAAGGTTACCTAGTCAGTGTGCTTATTTTGATCTGGAAAGTAAACCCTACTTTTCTCGTTGGATTAACATTAAAAAGGTAAGGAAGTTTTATTCTTACTTATTTTATTTCTACTTCATTTATAAAAAGGTATTCACTTCAGACAGAGTTGTCAGGTCAGGTTACATTTGGAAGCTTGGTATTACTAAATTTTTGACTTTTGCTACTTGTAACTTTTGCTAACTTGTAAAATTAGCTGGAATAACTTGGCTTATTAATGATAAATAAGTCTGTTATTTAGTTATGCTAGTCTTTCAATTGTAGCTCAGTTTACTATTTGTAGCTCAATCTGATAACCCTGACAAGGTAGATTTTCATTTTGTACTCAGCCATTAGTGGATTAAAACAAAATCATTTGCTTCTACTTCCTTCTTTCCTCCTACTTCTGCTTCTTTTACTGTTTCACTTCCTCCTCCCATGTCTCCTTCTCTTCTTCCTCTTTCTCTGCTTCTGCTTCTCTTCTTCCTCTTTCTCTGCTTCTCCTTCTCTTCTTCCTCTTTCTCTGCTTCTCCTTCTCTTCTTCCTCTTTCTCTGCTTCTCTTCTTCCTCTTTCTCTGCTTCTCCTTCTCTTCTTCCTCTTTCTCTGCTTCTGCTTCTCTTCTTCCTCTTTCTCTGCTTCTCTTCTTCCTCTTTCTCTGCTTCTCTTCTTCCTCTTTCTCTGCTTCTCCTTCTCTTCTTCCTCTTTCTCTGCTTCTCCTTTTCTTCTTCCTCTTTCTCTGCTTCTGCTTCTCTTCTTCCTCTTTCTCTGCTTCTCCTTCTCTTCTTCCTTTCTCTGCTTCTGCTTCTCTTCTTCCTCTTTCTCTGCTTCTCCTTCTCTTCTTCCTCTTTCTCTGCTTCTGCTTCTCTTCTTCCTCTTTCTCTGCTTCTCCTTCTCTTCTTCCTCTTTCTCTGCTTCTGCTTCTCTTCTTCCTCTTTCTCTGCTTCTCTTCTTCCTCCTCCTGCTTCTCCTTCTCTTCTTCCTCTTTCTCTGCTTCTCCTTCTCTTCTTCCTCTTTCTCTGCTTCTGCTTCTCTTCTTCCTCTTTCTCTGCTTCTGCTTCTCTTCCTGCTTCTCCTACTCTTTCTTTTCCTATTTCTCCTACTCTTCCTCCTCTTATTTTCAAGATACCAGATATTTTATGAAGTTTTATCTGTGTGTATATATATTCTGTAGTACTTTTTTAGTAAATAAATTGCAGTTATTGTTAATTTTTTAAAATATAGTTACTAGCTTTTCATCTTATTTTCTTGGATATCGTAAAGTTGAAAAGAAAAAAAAGTAAAAAAAATAAATGAGTAACAACAATGCTTCATTTAAGAAATTCAGACACCTTAAGATTATAAACCACAGTTTTTATATTTAACCCTTTAGCATTCAACCTGCTCAAACCCAAATATCAGCTGTCAATGTTCAACCAGTTGAGGCAGAATGACTGGAAGACAATCAAAGATTTAAAAACAGCTTCAAAAAATTCATATGCCAAAAATAAATATGATTTCAAAATTTAAAATATTATTATGGCTTACTTGTAATTGCATGCATGGATCTCAGTATAAATGGTTATAAATAATTATTGACCAATTTTATCATTGTGATATTTTTGCATTATATCAAGTAATAAAAATTTAGTAACTAGGCTCTGCAAATTGGAGGAGAGTGTTATCAATGATCATGTTCTGACTTCAAATCTGCAGTTACCTCCCTTTTACTCTCTCTCTATCTCTCCCTCCCTCTCTCCCCTTTTTTATTTTTAAATGTACTTTCTATCACATAAAATCTGGTGAGGCACAAACAAATTCTCATTCCAAAAATGCAGCCCAGAGAAACAAAGTTTGGGAACCACTTAAATAGAATAACAATTAGTAAATCAGTGAACAGTTAGTTAAGATATGTTTTGATCTCTAACATTATCACCAAATAGCTCAGTTATGAGATAAATCTAAAGCTGTTCATAATAAGTTAAATTTCATTACTCAATTTCAACTCATAATGACATTTAGCTTATCACAAAGAAAAATGCTGATCAAATTTTGTGGCTTATCACGTTGAAAAACCAGTTCTCACATGATCATCAATGTTAAGCAATGTCAAATCTGGTCAATATCTAGATGGGAGATCACAGGAATACCTGATGCTGTAATTTTGTTTGTGCAGCTGGTATAATTGATAATGGCTTGGAATTGGAAATCGGTGAGCAGAGTTGCAATTCCAGTTGTGTTCATTATATTCACTTATGTGCAAATATCCTTGAGAAAGTGTCCCTCTCTTCACACTCCCCAGCTGTCGGTTAATTAGTAGGACTTATATCAGTAAATCATTATTATCTACAAAAATGTTTATCAATCTAAAAATATTTTCAGGCTTATTTAAACCTTCGAAATGTAGACAAGCTGTAAAAAACAAATCAATTAATCAAATTTTGTATCCAATGAGAATCTTCTAATTCCCAAAATTCATTATTATTACAATTTACCTGCTTATTGTTTTTTTTTTTTTATATATTAGTACTGGTTTTGCTTTAATTTTTTCCATTTTTATTGAGTACTTGAATTATTGTGATCAGTTTTTTTAGTATCTGATGATTGCATTGTGCATGAAACTCCAAGTCGTATTGTCAGCATGGGATATTATGTATATTTATTTATTTATATATATATTTGTTTTATAACCATAGGCATTTTCTACTCATACTGCAACGTGGCCTAGGGGTCTCCCTTCAATGTTAGAAAAATTAAGATTACCTTACATAGGAAGACATCACAGTGGTATAGGTAAGTCATATTATTTTATCCTTAGGTTTGAACTTTTGGAATGGTATCATTTTTAGTACATTTTTTTTCCTACAGCTAAAAAGTATGTTTGATTTTATCTCAAATAAGGTAATTATATACACTATTTACATTCCAGATACCACTAAGTTCTCATAGTTTTTCAGCTTGCTTCAAGCACCCCAACCTGTACACACTTTTTTTTCACTCTTCTCTGATTATGTTTATATAAAATAGGCAACCAACAGGGCAACTATCTGTGATTGCCAAGTTGTCTTGTCTTGATCCTCACTGCTCGTCTCACTTCTAGGATGCGTCTGAGTACACTGCCAACTGATACAATGTTGGGTGGCTTCACTAAAATCTTCTCCCCAATCCAGACAGATGCAGGTGCCTCCCCTTGTTCAGTTACTGGTATGACTTTTTGTATGCCTCAATTTAAGCTTAAAAATAAACTGTTATGATAGTCACCATCTTCGGCAGCATCTTATACACTATCCTGGTGGGTGATGTTTCTCCTCTCTCAGCTGTAGATTCTGTTGGTCAGCAGTTTTCAATGATATTTCCACTTGACCTCTAAGCAGTTCTCAAAGAGTTTCTGAATGCTATGCTGCGGTTCTTCAAGATTTCCTCCATTGAGCCTCGTTACAAAAGAGATTGGCTTACGGCCATCTCATGTTGAAACATTGTGTAAATGATTGGTAGAACAGGGATAAGGAGAAGTAGCAAAAAGACAAATGTTGCTAAGAGATACAAGGGACAGGAAGTTGTGGAGAACCATGATCGTCCACGTCCTGAAGAGACACAGCACATAAAAGAAAAATGAATGACTCTCTCAACTTCCTTATCGGGTCAAATAATTTTTTACAGCAATGATGGTATAAATGATTTTGCCAATAATAGCCCACATATAGGCAGTCTGTCAAGAACAAATCAATTAATCAAATTTTGTATCCAATGAGAATCTTCTAATCTATTTTAACTCTGACATGCAAGAAATGTTCAAAATATAGTTTGTCTCAAAATGCAATAATTTAGTTCAATGTTGGGTTGTTATTTTTTTCTCCTACTATGAATTTACAAGTATATCAACCTCAGACATCTGTACTACACATTACTATGAAAAAGTGATACTGTATTCTCCCATTACTACCAAGCTGCATACTTACTAGTAAAGGCATTCCTACTTACAAATTGTGCTGTATACTAAAAATATAAAAGCTTATAATCTAAATTCGCATTCTAATTCAATGGCAATTTGTTAAAAATAAGTTTTGGCCAAGTTTAACCTTTGTGCCTGCAATAAAATGATATGTCAAAAGGACATTTGGCACCATTATTATTATTATTGTTGTTGTTATTTTGTACTACCTTCACTTCCTTGGCAGGGTTTATTGTTTTAAAAATCGATTAAAATTCTAATAAAACCCAAGCATATGAAAGTGAATTTATACCTGAATTTATACATTTTCTTTGAGAATTTACAACAAAAATATTAAACACTATTTATTTATTGGATCATTTATTTACAAGAATAATTTTATATTTATAACATTCTAAAAATGAGAATCAAGGTTATTTTGAAAGTTAAACATTGCCTAATTTTTTTTCTGCCAATGTTGTAACATAAATCATAATTATAATCATAACATAAATATTATGTTCTAAAAAAAATTGGCTTACAGCCATCTCATGCTGAAACATGTGTAAATGATTGGTAGAATAGGGATAAGAAGTAGCAAAAAAAGAAATATTGCTAAGAGATACAAGGGATAGGAAGTTGGGGAGAACCATGATTGTCCATGCTCTGAAGAGACACAATACATAAAAGAAAAAAGAATGGCTCTCTCAACTCACTTTGCAGGTCAAATAATTTTTTACAGCAATGCATTTGTCAATAATAGTCCACATATAAGGCGTTCTGTCAAACCTTGTGGATGGTTCAAAAATCATGGCAAGTTCATATTTAAGAGCACTCAGAATCTGTCTCCCTCAATATTTATGTGATGAGGAGAAATACATTAAAAGTACTTTTAAGCTTCTCCAATATTCTAATTCATATTAAAAAGCAAAACAAAAGTCTCATCAAATTTTTCAGGAAAAAAAAATTAACAATTCAAGATATTCACCTCTGTCACAATTACAACTGAAAAGAATCTATCCAAGCTTAACATAAAATTTGTTACAACTACTTCTAAAACAATAAAAGACTTAATTAATACAAAATAAAATAATAGTAAGCTAAAACTTGAAGGAGGAATTTATTCTGTCACCTGTAATAATTGTTACAAGTAATACAGAGGAGAAACCTTGAGGAATTAAAAGATTATATGAACACTCAGGGCATTGGTCACTCACAATAATATGCCTGACCATAATTTCGATTTAAAAAATGCTGCTTAAATTAAAACAGAAAGTGCTTTGATTACTAGAGCATCCATGGTAAATTTGTCTCCCTGTTCTTACAACATTTCATCTTTCTTGGCAGGTCTTTTATTATCACAATGTGGGTGCTTAATAATAAAAATGATAAAAACAAAAGCATAAGGAAACTGAATAAAATCAGCTAGACTACAGGCCCAGACATATCTCAGAGAGAAAAAATAAAATTAAGTAAAAAGTTTCAACATTCCAACATTTTCAGCATTTCCTGTCAATATGTAATTATAACTGATGCTTGCGGTTTTAGATCATCCCTTCCTTCTCCTACACATATATAATTCCATCAACACGATCATTACTTTTGTCTGTTGAAGTCTTTCTAGATGAAACATGTTACACAGAATTTCTTCCATTTTGTCATTCATTTGCTTAATATTGACTTTAATAATACCAGGAGAATAAATAGAAAGATCTGTCTATATTTCTGAGATGAGGTATTATGTACACTATTTACATTATTCGGACTATTGTCCTCAACTTTGTTGCTATATTTATTACAACGTTTCGGCCATTGTACGCTCCAGCCTTCTTCAGGTGGTTGGAATGTTGAACTGAACCCGGTTTGCCATGTTTTTAATGGATGTCAGTTATTTGCTGTTAATACACCTCTCCAAGTTCTCCACTGCCTTAACCAGGTATTGAACTCACACTGTTTGGGTCCTGTCACTAGATCAAACCAATGCCTTTATCCATTGTGCCATGCCACATAGAACTAGAACAGTCTACCCCAGTGAGCGAAATAAAGTATTCAGGTCGACATTCCAACCACCTGAAGAAGGCCAGAGCTTACAACAGCCGAAACGTTGTAATAAATATGATGACAAAGATGAGGACAATAGTCTGAATAATGTAAATAGTGTAAATAGAAAGATGTCATTAAAGTTAATAGTTTTGAATAATAAAAATCAGTCAGATTGTTATATTAATGAAATTCTGATTGGAGGCATTTCTATATTGAATAAATCATTAAGTAAAAATCATTGATTCTATGTTTTTTGAAGAGAAGAGATAATGAGAATTTGTCTGTCTATAAAATGAAAAGAAATTATGAAATGAGAATAATTTTATAATGTACAACTGAAAAATTCAGGAATTTGACCAATGAAAAAAAATTAGGCAGTGTTTAACCTTTGTGCCCACAAAAAAAGAACTGTATCAAAAGAATGGTTATTCCGTTGACACTGCTATTACTTTTGACTCTGTTATTACTTTTTGACTATAAAAGTATGTGATTCAAGTACAATGTGATATTTATTATGTACCTTTTATAAAGATTTATTATCTACCATTTTTTAAATCTTTTTATTAAAAAATTTATTAAAAAAAAATTACAAGATTATTAAAGTGAATTTATGTGGTGAGAACAAATGAAAAAAATGCCTGGAGAATGATTTTTTTCAGTATTTGCAATTACAGTTACTCATCGCTATGAGTTTATTTAAATTTTCTTGTTCAGACCTATATAAATTTATGAATAAAAAAAATCTCATTTTCTGTTTATTTCTTTATAAAATGGTAAATAATAAATACTTTGTTATAGTTGATACACATATTTTCATAATCTTGTAAATATAAAATTATTCTTGTAAATAAACAGCCTAATAGAAAAATAGTGTTTAATATCTTTGTTTTCTATTTCTCATAAGTACAAAGAAAAGGAATAAATCCGCTAATGGGAGTGTTATGCAAGAAATGAATATTCCCAGTTTTCACTTCCCCCATTATGGGTATTATTATATATTTTTGCTACTCTATGATGTGATGTCACTAAGTGGCCATCATGTGATAGATGTGACTTCATCTCAACCAAAGGGAGATAATTGCCTTTTGTATCCCTACACTATGTGTTTTGGTTTTATTAAAAATCTAATCAGCACTTTTTTTAAAACAATAAACATTGCTAAGTGTATAGAGTAATAGTGGTGTCAACAGAATAACTGTTCTTTTGAAACACAGTTTTTTGTGGGTACAAAGGTTAAACATTACCAAAAAATGATTTATCTTCATACTATTTCATTTAAAATATTTCCTCCTGAGTACAATGATTTCACAAAGAGTGCCAAATTCCATGCTCCTTTCAGTTTGAGTAGCTAATTCAAATTCTGTGAATGTTTGTGTAGCATCTCATATAAAGCAAATAGGAGTTGACATGCCGTTAAATCCAACATCCATCCATCATATAAAGCATTATCCTGTACAACTAGTTTTTCTTTCATAAATTGTATAAACTATTTGAAAATAATTTTAATAAATTTTACTGAATATAGTATGTAATTTAATTTTTTTCTTTTTATTTTACAGATGATTGCACGAACATAGCAGCAATTCTTGCAGAGCTTTTAAAAAGGGGTTATGTATTTACTAAATCAGATGTGCAGTATCTAAAACACAGGTAGGGGCTGAGATGTTGGGGACAGTATACAAACTTTTCAATTGAGCAGCTATTCTTGGTTGTAAGCATTACATAGAGAAACAAAGTCCAGTTTTGAAATACTTGACAGGAAGTAGATTTAAGACAATTCTAATGAGAACTTCTTAACCCTCTGTTAGTTCTGTGGAGCATTGTTGCATCATTAGTAAGCATGGTGTTTCAAGTACCCCATTTAAATTATTATAAATATATCATTTAATTTTCTTGTTTTATATATATATATATATATATATATATATATATATATATATATAATGTCTTGAGTGCCTTTCTGGTTTTTATAGGATAAATAAAAAAATTTAAAAAAAAAATGAAAGGTTTTATTTTGAAAAATCAAATTAAAAAGCAAATGTAAAACAAATGAAATTTTAAATTTCAAAAATGCAAATTTTCAGTTCGATCTTTTAAAACAATTTATGATCAGTTTGACTCCTCTTTGACTGTTTTTTTTTTCTTTCCCCCCACATTTCAAGCAAGGAACAAGGTCACAAGTGTTCTTTGCATACATTTTTAACACAATTATTACAGTCATTACTTTACAATTGTGTGCTGGTATGACTAAACACCAAAACTCTTTTTAGAAAGCGCCTTAATTATAAGAATTTGAGTTGCCACTTGCTATGATGTCTAATCAAAAAGTATTGCGACTTTTGTTATGGTAACAGAGCTAAAGTATGTAGTGCAAAGCCACACATTGACCTTGAACTGTCATGTATACACACCGTTATAACAATATTGCTTCAATTTTTTATAGCAGTGCCTGGAATTAATGTGTATGTTATAGACAAGCATATGGTTGCAAGAAAGAAATATGACAACAGCAGAAATAGATTCACGTGATTTATTTCAATAGGAACGTGTGGGTTTGGGACAGCTACCTTGTGGCATAGTTCATAAGCTGGCTGCAGATCTGGGTTGATCTCTCATAGCAGTTCTCACTGGTTGGCATGGCGCTCCTCCTGCTGACTGCCCAGACTGACCGTGACAGATCTCTTCCCTGGCCTCCTGTTGACTGCTAGTACTTCCCCGTGTGACCCCTTTTATGCCTTAACAGGCTCGAAAAACAACGCGAGTATAATTAGGATGGAAGCATTTTTATTGGTCAAAAAATAGAAACACTTTAAAATATTATTTTATTTTTCGACCGGAACTCATGCGTCGGGCCTATGCGCAAACGACGATAATGGTCATTTTGTGACAGGGCTTTGTCCCGTTCACATCCAGCTCTTGCTCTTGAGTATGTTAGTTTATTTGCCTGCAAATTAGCCGAGATATGTCTCATTTTATTTTATTATAAGATGTAGAATGAGGTTGTAGCATATGTACCAAATATAGCGATTCACTAAATGTAGCAGGAACACCAAATATATAGGTACTACTACTATTTATATTAATGATTCTTCTACATACAGGATTCAAGAAATAATACCAACAACTCCAATTTGTTAACCAACAAATATATATTGAATAAAATACAACAAGAAGCATGAAATAATTTTGTATTCACAATGTAGATTAAAGAGAAGGAATTTCTTTCCCTTTGACTGTAGATTGATTGTAATCAACCATTTGAAGAAAGTTCTCTTGTGAGATAAATGTTCCGAAATAATTGTTAGAGCAAAGTTTGTATGTGAAGAATGAATATCACAAAGAAATACAATTACTTGGTATGTGTTGTGAATAAACTGGTTTGAATCAACAAAGTTCTGGTTGATTGTGCTTGGCGAAAGTTACAGAGAGAAAATGTAAGTTTATAGTTACAAAATTCTGTGTCTGTGTGTATGTTAGAGTGTGATGAGCAAGATTGTGGATTTGTGTTGATGGCTGGGATCTTACTGGATCTTACTGGTAACTTGCGAAGTCACCCTATTTAAGGAAAAGAGGTAGGCTCCCACAGAACCGTGTGAAAACTTGATCTTACATTAAAAATATGTGATTGGTTAAAAATTAACCAATCACTGCACACATACTAAACAGAATAGGTAAGTATGCTCAGAACCAAAGATTCAAAGGAACAACTGCGATGGCTAAATTGTTCTATACAAAGGTAGTAGTAATTTATTAGCCAATCATAGACGAATAAAATGACTTGGAGTGTATGTGGGTGTGAAAAACATAGCAACCGCTATAAGGTCATTTCAACATACCGCAGAGGTTTCATCAATGACCATGGCTTATGCAGCATTTTTTTGGCAAAGCACAATGTTTCCCAGGTCCAACAACCACTATATTTCCCAGATCTTACCCCTTGCCACTTTTTCCTCTTCAAAAATCAAATCTCACTTAAAGGAACACAGATTTCAAAATGTCAAGGAAGTCCAAGAGAATGTGATGAGGCAGCTACTTGCTATGTCAAAAAAGTTGTTCCAGAAATGCTTCCATCAATGGAAACAAGGCTAGATAATGTGTGTGGCTTCAGAAGGAAACTATTTCAAAGGAGATTAAATGCCAATATGTGTTGTAGTTTTCTTTTTATAGCACCAGTCCCAATACTTTTTAATCAGACCTCATATTAAGGAAAAATATATTGTGAGCTGTCCAAACACCACACTATGCTGATGGTGGGTTAAAAATCCAGAATTCTTTTTTATTTTAAATTGAAAACTGCAAAGTTTTTAAGCATTGTGCATTATAAATTGATAATTTAAATGTTTTCTAACAATACGGGTATCATTCATTTGTGATTTGAACCTACAATAGCACCCATCAATTTCAACTTGGATGCTATAATGTTAACTTCTATGTGTGACCCTTGTCAACAGGGCTGGTGCAAGGATTTTGCAACCCCCTCTTCAAATCTATGATGAACCCTCCACTCTACTATATCTCAATTTTCATAAGCTAGTATTCATATAAAATACAAATTTTATTGTAACCTAATTCTGTACTATAATGGATCATATGCAATATAGGTGACTAATTCAACTAGAAAAATTGAAAATAAATGCAATGTATCTAAATACAAATTAGAGACATGTCATAATAGATCATTCCATCTTAAATAAATGTTTTGCAGCAATTTTTAATATCAATTTGAGATTTTTCTTGTTAAAAAATGAATAATTTTAACATGTTTAACATTATGGATTAAAAAAAAATAGTGAATTTTATATAGTGTTTTTTTTCAAGACTTTGCATGTATATAACAAATTCATGGATATGGATGAAAAAAGACCCCGGAATGATGTCAAAATCTGCAAAAATATTTTACCTTTTAATAGTCAGTTGTGCTTAGATTAATTTGTAATGTATATAAATATAGTTAGAAAAAAGAAAATGTTGATAAGATTGATTTCACTGTCTATCACGGTCATGAGGATCAGATATGATTGCAGAATTAATAAATTATTCACAATTCAGTTTAAAAGTCAATAACTGACTTATGGTTGGAAAAAGTATAATCATAAAACAACTATGTTTAAATCATGCTGCTGATTAACTTAAAAATTATTTGACAATAAGATAAAACATGTGGGAAACATTGTACATACTTATGCAGTCTATAAGTTAATAAAATTTATAAAATATATAAATTGTTTTTACTTCTTCTTGTGTTATATATGTGTACCATACCTATAAATGCTAATGTGTTTGTCCCTATCCTCATAAATATGTTGGATACTATTGTAAGTGGGGGTAATATGCTGTCTAAGTAGTCCACCACTATCAGTGGTTTACCTACTTCACGCCTGTTGTAGAATAGCTAGCACCTCTTCAGAACTCTACAAGATGGCCTTCCTAATAGACTTAAATAGTCTACAATTAAGGACTTCAACAGTTGATTAATAAGTTGATTAGTAAGTTCATACTAAGCTGATTAATACTTGGACTGATCTTACTTTGTTTGGCTATACAGCATTTGACCCTCCTCTCTTCCTTGTAAGTTGTCTTGTTAATTGTTTTGTAACTTACTGTTCTGCGTTTTTTTGTATGTATCTATTAACACCAGATACTGGTGCCAAATAAATATATTAAGCATTCATTCTTCTCTGTGTATCATTCACCTTGTGTTGTAGAGTAGTTTTCACAGTGGAGGCTTGTATTTCGTTAAGTCGGTCCTAAAAGGGTCTGATGTACAAAACGTTAGGAATGTGAAATAAAAGTTAATAACGCAGCAATCTAGTTGTGATGGTTGATACTTCAATGTCCGACATCGACTGACTCACTCAACTCCACTGAGCTCAACTGGCGACCGCTACTATTACTACTACTACTTATGTGTGGGAGAGTCTATTAATAATAGAATAGGTACGTTCAGGTATAACACCTTGACAATACAACAATGCCGCTGGCGAGTATTGTATTTTTTTGATGTTATAAAGATTACCATTTCATTTCCAACCTCCGTTTTGGTTATTCCTCATTCAGTAACCATTTCTAGGTTACAACCATATAAAAATTCAGATTTGATATTTACTTTACAATGCAAAATGTGATACAAAGCTATGTTTACAGAGTTCACAGTAAGGAACTAGTTCACTATACAGAACATACGAGATGAACATGCAAGGGTGATTAGCAGTACAGATTGTTGTAATAAAAGAATCTTTAAATTTTTGTACCTAATTTTTATTCTAATGATGGCAACAATTATAATCAACTTCTGGTTTAAAAATTCCATCTACAGCAAATTCTGTTTGTCTTTATGATTAATGGAATTTAATATTCAATGATAAAAGACATTTAAACATATTTTAATCATTTTATGCAAAATTTTAAGCAAAAGAACTAATGAAACAAAATACCCATCATTAATTATTATACAGTAATAATCACATTTTGCATATATCAAATCTGAATTTTCATATGGTTGTAACCTGGAAAGGGTTACTGAATGAGGAATAACCAAAACGGAGGTTGAAAATGAAATAGATCTATTCAGACTAGTGTAGAGAAGTTATAACTGAGTAAATAATTTTATATACAAAAATACTTGTAAAAATAAGAGGCAGCTAGATGTG